ATATATATATATATATAGTATAAGTTTAAAAGTCTGTTCATTATTTTGTTGTTTTTCATGTTTTGTTATTATTTTTATTTTTAAGCAATTTTACACTCCAAAAAAAGTCTAAATGCTACATAGATAGTGAATGCATAATTTTTAAATTCTTTAGCAAAATGTAATGTTATGGGTCCCATGAAAATTTGAATTTATTACTATTAGTATATTTCAGTTTTAATTTTCATTTTAATTTTAGTTTGTTTTAATAATTTTCTTATGTATTTTTAAAAATGTTTCTACATTTAAAAATATATTTATATTTATATATAGTTTTATATATATTATTTATACATTTTTAAGTATTTATATATAGCTTTTAATTTATTTTTATTTCAGTTTTAATTTGAGTTATTTTAATACTACAGCTTGAACTTATTTAACCTATACTTCAACCTTAACTTCAACTCAAATTTATTTAGTTTCCAAGTCAACATCTATTTATTTTTTTTGTTTATTTTTGCCAAGTCAACACTTCTAATTTAAGTCTTTAATCAAATATTTATATTTTATTTCATTTCAGTTTTATTTAAAAATATTTTAAGTTATTTTACATGACACACTAAACAGAAGCAAAACTTCCAAATAATGTGACTGTGCTCAGCATCCTGCACACACAGCACTCAAATGGCACAGTTCATCGTGAATAATACATTTACAATCAATGTGATGGTGAAAGTCAGCAAAACTTCACATCACACAGCCCAGCGCCCTCTGGTGGACACCTGTAACTAATCTGTTCCTGTTGCTTCAGACATTGACGAGTGTATCGTGAACGGCGTTATGTGCCGTAACGGACGCTGCGTGAACACAGATGGAAGTTTCCAGTGCATCTGTAATGCTGGCTTTGAAATCAGTCCTGATGGGAAGAACTGCGTCGGTAAGCGCTTAAACTGCGACTTTAACTGCCTAATATATGTATTTTTCATATTTTTACACTTTTTGTTTTTAAATTTCACACAAAATTAGATGCTTCACCTGTTTGTTTGCTGATTATTCGGTTGTACACTATAAAACCTGCATTAAAATATTTAACAATTGTTTTAAATGCTTTATAAATCTCTTTAAGGAGTTTGGGTTGGGCGGAGGGTGTCAGAAGGTCAACATAAACATTTTTAATTAATAATTTTGATGAATACAGTTAGTCCAAGAAAACAACTGAATATCCAGCATTTGTTTTATAGTGTATTTTCAGAAACATTTTCTTGTTTACTAGATCATGATGAATGTGCCACCACCAACATGTGCCTCAACGGCATGTGCATAAACGAAGATGGCAGCTTCAAGTGTATCTGCAAACCTGGATTTGCTTTGGCGCCCAACGGACGCTACTGCACTGGTGAGCATGTCTGGGATTCGCTTTTCAAAGATTATTAAACTCATATACGATTTGCTCATCCTCAAGTCTGTTCAATGACAAAAAATCCAACAAAATAAAAGCGCCACAAAAATGTAGTAACTTCAAGTCAATACGCTATATTCCAAGTCTTCTGAAGTCATACAGTAGTTTTATGCGCTAAATTGCTAAAATCTCATTTCCATTTGCACATTTTTCCAAGTTCAACACGCCTTGAGATGTCTTTCTCGCATTGGTGACATTCAAGTCAATGGAGTCTGTCCAAATCAAAAATGTCAAAAATTTAGGTCGTTATTCTCAGAAAACTCTTCAATCTTATTTGCATTTGCTTATTTTTTCACGTCATTGGCACATGTTCGATGTCACAAGACACAAGAACCAATAGCTATGTTTCCATCCACCTATTTTTATGTGCATTTTGGATTATCGCATAAAAAACCACTGGATGGAAACGCCACGATGCGCATAAATTTTAAAAATGCGCATAAAAAACGTATGCGCACAACTGAGAAGGATAAACTTTTTATCAGATAAGAAAAAATGCGCATAAACTACGATGGAAACACATTTACCGAATAAATTCCACCATGCGCATTGAAAAGGTCATGTGCGCTATGAGACGGGATAAATTGACTAACCAGCGGACCGATCTCGTTCACAGCATCTATATGTTGTTTTGGTCGTTCTGAAATGCCTGAGGAAAGTCTGTCATCAAAGTATTTCTGTATAATTGTCTTACACGACTGTGTTCCCAAACAGTAGGCATCCACCTCTAAAAGCAATGACCGCATTTATTGTGTTACGTCTGCTCTCTGAAGCGCAAGTAATTTATTACATATGAAAATTAATGTATTCAGTGGCTACTCCTATATTCTTAGTGATATTTAGTGCTACAGTTTACCAGGAAGTGACGATTTTGTTCTCTTTGACTCGTTGGATGGAAACGGTGCTTTATTTGCATATGTTTTATAATAATTAATAATAATAATTTATGCATTTAGCAGATGCTTTTATCCAAACTGACTTACAGAGCATTCAGGCTATACGTTTTTTACCAGTATGTGAGTTCCCTGGGAATCGAACCCTCGACCTTTTGCACTGCTAACACAATGCTCTACCACTGAGCCACAGGAACATATTTTATGCTGTATTCCAGTTTTGCACATAAGTTTAATTCGAATCTTTGGATGGAAACGTAGCTAGTGACATTTCACGTCATTGACAAGACAGATCAAGCTAGTTTTCATATCAGTGACGTCAAATGTCTTTGGTTGCCACGTTTTACGATAGTTTTATGCACGAAACAAACGCTTAAATTGCTAAAATCTCATTTACAATTGCGCATTTTTGCAAGTTTGACATCAAATCTGACTTGACCTGTCTTGAGATGTCTTTGTTGACAAATGAACACCAGTTGCGAGAATCAAAGTCTTTAATGACCAAAGTTGTTATTTTCAGTCATCTGAAAATCGTTCCTTCAGCGCAACTCTTCAGAACGGCTTTGCGTATATTTTCACGTCATTGGCACATTTTTGACGTCAATGGCTACAGTTGCAAGTTGCAAGAACCAATGACATTTGACATCATTGATCTCAATCCTGCTGCCTCAAGACATTATACTAGTTTTCATGTCAGTGACGTCAAATGTCTTCGGTTGTTGCGTCTTGTGACCGTCACTGATGTCGTTAATGGTTTACGCTATTTTCTTCTTCGTTAAACTCTTGACAGGCATCTATGAACACCAGACCTGTGGCATATTACTAGTCTATACACTATATTCCAAGTCTTCTGTCGTATGATATTTTTTGTGCGAAATACAGATGCTAAACCGTTAATATCAAATTTCCATTTGCGCATTTTTTCAAGTTTGACGTCAAATCTGACACCACACGTCTTGAGATGTCTTTGGTTCTCGCATCTGATGTCTTTAATGATTTTAATGACCAAAATTTAAGTTGTTATTCTCAGGAAATCGTTCCTTCATTGGAACTTTTCAATCTTGTTTGCATTTGCGTATATTTGTATATCATTGGTGCACGTTTGACGTAAATCTTTCATCTCAATGGCATCATGTCAAAAGTTGTCACCTCTCGTGACCGTCATTGACGTCATTAGTCATTATTGACGTGTTGTTCCATAACGGCTTGCGCCTGCGTTTCGTTCTGACAGACATTGACGAATGCCAGACCTCGGGCATCTGTATGAATGGTCGCTGCGTGAACACAGAAGGCTCATTCCGCTGCGAGTGCCCGCCAGGGCTGGCCATCGACGTGGATGGCCGCGTCTGCGTGGACACCCACATGCGCACCACCTGCTACGGCGCAATAAAGATGGGCACGTGTTCGCGTCCATTCCCCGGGGCGGTGACCAAGTCGGAATGCTGCTGCGCCAACCCAGAACATGGCTTCGGAGAACCCTGCCAACCCTGCCCGGCGTTCAACTCCGGTAAACCACAACGATACACCTTCCAGTCACGAACGATACTTTAAAGGTGCTGTATGTAAGTTTTTGACTCTACTAAAGCTCGTTCCTGTTGGTGTCCTCAATCTGGCAACCTGTTTGTGCGTCAAGTCTGAGGAGGAGGGGCAGGGTGAAAAAAACCCTCTCCAATATTTTGAATTTGGACTGCAATACCTAGTTCAACCACTCGGTGTCAATCCTATATACAGCACCTTTAATATCAACGCAACATACGTTAGCTTTAAGTTGTGTGACAGCAGGTGGCTAACGTCGTTTGTCTGTTCGCAGCCGAGTTTCAGGCGGTGTGCAGCAGCGGACCTGGAATCACTGCAGACGGACGAGGTAAGTCTGTTTTCACGAATGCGCTAATCGCGTTTGTGAACGCTAAATGCTAATGGACTGTATTCGGTTTCTTTGTAGACATCAACGAATGCGCTTTGGATCCAGACATCTGTCAAAACGGGATCTGCGAGAACTTGCGCGGGAGCTACCGTTGCATCTGTAACATCGGCTACGAGTCCGACGCTAGCGGCAAGAATTGCGTGGGTAAGTTGCGTTAACATTTTTATTACATAACTTTTTTTTATTATGTAGATAAACGTAGCTTCTACTATGTTTTATGTAAAAAATACTTTTTGTACAATACTTGCTCTGAAAACTATGAGTAGTAGTTACGATTGATTAATTTCGTTAACTTTTTGCGTATCTTTCAGACATTAACGAGTGTTTGGTGAATCGGTTGTTGTGCGACAATGGCATGTGTAGAAACACGCCCGGAAGTTACACTTGCTCTTGCCCCAAAGGATTCTCTTTCAAAGCTGACTCTGAGACTTGCGAAGGTTTCCTTACGATTATTTTTTTCCTTCATTATCTTTTTCGTAAATTTCACATAACATTGTGTATATTGTATCTTTCGTTCTTACCTGTCCTCCTCTTTTTCAGACATCAACGAATGCGACTCCAACCCTTGCATCAACGGCGTGTGCCGCAACGTAGCCGGTTCTTTCAACTGCGAATGTTCCCACGGCAGTAAACTGGACTCCACCAACACCATCTGCGTAGGTAAGTTTGAAAAGTCGTTTTAAGCCACAAGTTTCCATGGTAACAGCAAGTTCTCTGATTGGTGCTTGTCTTATGGATAGTTTAGTTGCTATTAAATGTTTAAATTGCTATGAAATGTTTGCTAAATACGCAACAAAATACTACTTGAGAGACTTTATTATGCAACATTAGCATAGTGATGTGCATGTCAAGGTTTATTATGTTTTTAGAGGTAACTGGCCAGCATTCTGCTACTTTTATTCATTTCTAGCCAGGCGGTTTTCATTCTTTGTCTGAAACTGAATGTCGTTTGATTGAAATTAATGGAGTATGAAGGCAATAGGTCGCGCGTTTGTGCTTTCAGCATGAATGCCCACTGCGATCCCATCCCGCAAGATATCCGAGTTGGTTTTTATATATCTGCAGAAATGCAATGACTCTCCGCATGGGAGCCGCTCCAAATGTCACAACGTCCATTTGTCATTGTCACGCATTTTTGGTTCTCTTTCACGTATTTGCTCCATGCAGACAGCATGAAAGGAACCTGTTGGCTGAACATCCAGGACAGCCGCTGTGAGGTGAATATAAACGGGGCCACGCTGAAGTCCGAATGCTGCTCTACGCTGGGGGCAGCCTGGGGAAGCCCATGTGAACGCGAATTGAAAAATTTTTAATTTAATAAAAAAGATGAATGTGAAAATTCTAGGTAACAAATAATTATATATCTTAGAATTGTATTTATATTTAAACAATTATACATTTTTAGATATTTCATATAAATTGTCAGTTTGTATATTATTTATATTTATTAAAAATATTAATGAGAAAAATGTAAGTAACGTGTTTGAAAAAAAAGTGTAAAACCAAATTGAATTTAATTAAGCCAAAATTGAATTTATTAATGAATAGTTTTTTTTCAGCTAAAGGAACCATTGAACCAATATTTGCTTTAAAGATGCAATCTTAGAAACATAAAGTAAACAGTATCTCACAAGTTTTTAACCTGTATTTTCTACAGATCCAGCCTGTTCGAAAGGTTTAGCGCGCATGAAGGGACTTGTATGTGAAGGTACGTGCTACCCACAATCCTTTGCTGCATTTACTTTCCACATTATTTAGTGCATTGCATGATGATGCATCACGTTTCTGCTCCGTCTTTAGATATTAACGAGTGTGAGGTGTTTCCCGGCGTGTGCACAAACGGACGCTGTGTGAACACGCAAGGCTCATTCCGATGCGAGTGTCCGGAGGGACTTACGCTGGACGGAGCCGGACGAACATGTGTTGGTATGAAAACATATTCATTAACTTTCCTTTCTCAAACGATTTATTGCTTTAGTTGATTTATTGGTTGCAGACAGCATAATACATCAACATGAATATGTTTTTAAACCAAAAACAGAAACTATCAACTTGATTTATGACTTAAAAAGAACAACTGATCCAAAACAAACCTGTTTTTTTGTAACTAACAACATGTGCTAACCAAACAGTGGTGATTTAATAAAGTGGTTTGTGTGTCCTGTAGATATCCGAAGCGAGCAGTGTTATATGAAATGGGACGAGGACGAGTGTGTGGAGCCGTTACCGGGCCGGTATCGTGTGGATATGTGCTGCTGTACAGTGGGAGCGTCATGGGGCGTGGACTGTGAGGCCTGTCCCAAACCAAACACGCCCGAATTCAAAACCATCTGCCCGCGGGGACCCGGAATCGCCAACCGAGGAGACATCCTGACAGGACGACCTTTCTACAAAGGTGGAGCGTCAGAGCTGTCTGTCATTTATTCATAGGGATGTGCGGATATAGAACATTTCGACCGATATGATACCGATAATTATGTTGTTTTGGCCGATAACCGATATTGGCCGATATTATACATCTATAGTGTTTACAGCAATCGAAAACATTGTTAGAAACAGAAGTTTGCTGATATTATCGGCTTCCAACATCAGCTTAATCGAGCCGATATCAATAATTTTGAAAACACTAATATCTGATACCGATATTGGCTGATAAGAAAAATTCACACAAAAACCCGATGAATTTATAATATTTTATAGTAAGGTTATATTATATAAAATTCTATTTATGTTATAATTAAATAAAAGTAAATATAATTATTTGTTACCTAAAACATTGACAATGTTTATTACATAAATAAATATTTTAATTAATATAAATGATATACAAATTGACAAAATATATATAAAACATATGATTTATTAATTAATTAATTATTATTATTATTAAAATAAATAAATATTTTGTTACCTCAAATGTTCACATTAATCTTTTTATTAACTTAATTAAAAATAAATGTAATTATTATGAATTATATACAAATTGGCAAAATATATATATATCAAATATTGTTATTATTTAAATATAAATAAAATTATTATAAATGTAAATATTTGTTACATAAAACTTTCACTTTAAACTTTTTACTAAATTAAATTAAAATGTATTTAAAATGTACAAATTGACTAAATGTATTTAAAATATGTTAAAAATTATAATCATTATTTTAATATAACTATAATTATAATAAATTAATATAATTATTTATTACCTGAAACTTTCACATTAATCTTTTTTTTTTTTTACGAATTTAAATACAATGAATTAATTCGTATCCTGACTTTTTTAATTTTTATTAATTACATTTTTTATTTATTTACAAATTTTTGTTTTTCCATACATTTTTCTGCAGTTTTCTCCCCAGTGTATCACTAGGTTACAAAAACACTCAAATACAAAGAAAGTAAGATTATTGGTATTTCCTTCAAGGTTTTTTCTGTGTGTTGAATAATGAGGTTATGAGCCTGTTTTTCTCTGTAGATGTGAATGAATGTAAGGTCTTCAAAGGCCTGTGCACTCACGGGATGTGCCGAAACACCATCGGGAGCTTCAAATGCCGCTGTGACAGCGGTTTCGCCCTCACCATGGAGGAGAGGAACTGCACAGGTCAACATCTCACCCGTCACCGCATCTAAATCAAACACAACACGCGTTTCAACGCACCGCTCACACTGTTCCCATCGCTCCCGCAGATATCGACGAGTGCACCATCTCTCCGGACCTGTGCGGACACGGCGTCTGTGTCAACACGCCCGGCAGCTTCGAGTGCGAGTGTTTCGAGGGCTACGAGAGCGGCTTCATGATGATGAAGAACTGCATGGGTGAGACTCGAACCCGTGCCATTTCCTGCAGCCTCTGAAAGCCTGCGTGTGTCACAGCGTCTCCGTCTCTGTCTCTCTCTGTCCCGCAGACATCGACGAATGCGAGAGGGAGCCCCTGCTGTGCCGCGGCGGCACGTGTCTGAACACAGAGGGCAGTTATGAGTGCGACTGTCCTCCGGGACACCAGCTGAGTCCAGAAGCTTCGGCCTGTGAAGGTACAGGAGAGCCACACTCCAAACCAATCAATAAATCATGTGTATTTCTATACTGAAATTCTGTTTGCCATATACAACACTTATTTATATAATTATTTTTATTTATATAATTAAATTTATTTTTAATTAACTTATCCAGTTAGTATTTTATCACTTTAGTAATATTTCATATATTTTTTTACCAATTTACTAATATTCAATTCAACATAAACAACACTTATTTATATAATTATTTTTACTTATATAATTAAATTTATTTTTAATTAACTTATCCAGTTAGTATTTTATCACTTTAGTAATATTTCATATATTTTTTTACCAATTTACTAATATTCAATTCAACATAAACAACACTTATTTATATAATTATTTTTACTTATATAATTAAATTTATTTTTAATTAACTTATCCAGTTAGTATTTTATCACTTTAATAATATTTCAT